GGGCGGCGGCGGCGGCTTGCACGACCTCTGCTCCTCCCCGGTTGAAGGGAGGTGGTGAATTCCTCGGGACAGAGACGACTCTTCCTGACTCTCCTGGGACGCAGCATGCCCGCCACATCAGGGCTGCCGCATAGCTATAATTACGCTCGCTCTGACGTAGCAAAAGTTTTGGGCAAACCTGCCATTTCTCGCTAAAACCTGGCCAGATGATTTGTCTGCTGTAGTTTTTGCAATGAGCCTATATTTATGGGTCCAAAAGCTAAAAATAATTTGACCTAGATCTTTTTTTTTCCATGAGTACCAAACAAGGTGGGGCTGGGCGTTGGACAGCAGGACTTTTCGGGCTGAGGCAGGATTTGAGTTGCTGAGTCTTGTTCCAGCTGGTCTGCTGCCCTTTGTTGTGGATGGAGAAGGAAACCTTCACCAGCATCTCACGCCTGGGGATTAGTTGCAGGAAGGGGAGACTTATACCCTGCAGTTTTCCCTTGGTGTAACGTGGTGGATGATGCTTGTGGTCCAAGAACTCTTGCTGTGGCTTGTGGCTTGGAGTTAGGCAATTGGATTTGGGAACTTTGTGACCTACCGGAGAATATGGAGACATAGGTTCAGAGAAGAAACGCGATGTTAGGCAACTGTAAGTCTCTGGATTGAGCAGAACCGGTGTGAACATTTGGAGCCAGACTTTGGCCAGGGAGTATTCCCTTGGCTCATTTGTGTGAGTTGCCTGCAACGGGGCTACCCCTTCTGTCAGGACTTTTCCCCCATGCCGGGTGGCACAGAGTCCCCTGGGGCCATGGTTTCTGTGTGGGTGGGCATCCTTGCCTTCTCATCCGGAGGGGAGACTTGATAGCCGCTCAGCTCCCTTCCTGGCCTCCAGATCCAGAGCAGGAGTTCACCTTGGCACAAATGCCTCCTGTTTCCTAGCAACCTTCCGCCATCTCCTCTACGGATTCCAGAAAGCTTTGGAACAAAGGGCTCTTGAAACTCCTCCTCCTCCTCCCCGCTTGCAGGCTCCTTTCAAGAGGAGCTCTTGAAACTCCTGCCAGCTGAGCTGAGCTGAGCTTTCCAGGAGCCCGGGAGAGTGGGCAACAGCCTGCCCCTGCCAGGAATGTCCAGTCAGCTGTTTTCGCCTAATGGAACTGGCATTGATCTACCACTGCAGGGCTCCTGGGCATCCACGCCAGCTCTCCTTTCCCTCTCAGTGTGATCCGCAGTGGAAGGGTGGGAAGATATTGTGGGCAAGCACACGACCTCCCTGGTAAGGAGAAAACTGTCTGGAGAGGCTCGACTGCTCTCCCCTCAGAAGAGGTCCTTGTAGCTGCTGGATGTTTTCAAGGAAAAGAAAATTCAGGTGTTGCCTGTGTCCAGTCCTGGCTATTGTGGAAAGTTTGCTTGACCCACCTTGTCTCCACAGGCCGGGCCTAAATGCCCATGTCCTGCCACTGAGCTGTGGCTTTCGGGTCCTTTTTCCATAGAAGCCCAGGCGTCCTATGTGTTCACATAATGTGCTCCCTCCCTAAGACTCAGCCTTACAGTGAGTCAGAGTCTTGGGTCCAGCAAGCCCCTCTGCTTTATACTGAGGAGAAACTGAAGTGCTCACAAACAGTATCGATGGAGGTTTCCTCAACTGCATCCTTTGTTTAATTTAGTTTTGTCGTTTCTGATTTTCAAGGTGGGACTGGTGTTTTTCTGTGCACCAGCCTGTTCTGTACTTTAGCTTAACACCTGATTTGTTTTACCAAATGCCATAAGGTTCAGTTCAAGTTCTTTAAAAAAAAGAACTTAAAAAAAAGTCTATCAATTAGTGGGATAAACCCCAAACCAAGCCAAAGGCACTCATTGGCATGGAATATTGAAAAGGAAACTGTCAGAAATTATGGCCTGATTTGTTGGTTTGAGACAGGGGCCCACATGTACATGAACAGACCTGTGGTTTCTCTGTACACAAAATATTTCTCCCAAGCTGCTGAATTTTGTGCCAGCCATCAGATTACATGTTTGCAAGGAGAGAATTGTGCTTGCCCCCTACAAGAGAGAGAGAGAGAGAGAGAAATTGCAAATAAGTGTTTTATGGAGCTTGAAAGGAATGCTGTGGAGGAGTTGATCAGGGCTAGAATTTATAAAGTTTGAAGCAGAGACACATGAGTCTTAGAGGAGTTTTGGCCTGCTGGTGCTTAGTTCCTCTCTTTCTTTTAGCCTTCTGGATGCAGAAAGTGCATTCCTGCTGTGTTGTAGTGTATGGCCTGGGTGACTGTGGAGCCTGGAGCCTCCCTCCCAAACAGTCCTGTTTTTGTTGGACAGACAATGGCCCCATTTTGTGAGCAATCAATATGTTAAAAGAAGAGGCCAAAACTGCCGAGTAGTAAAATCAGTCTTCAGAAAGTGTTTTCTCTCTCCCCCTCTCCTCCAGTCTGGGTCTCTGCAACGAATTCAAAGAGGCTGCTTCTCACAAAGCCTGGCTACTGCGCATGGTGCTGGGGGTAGACAGGTCTGTCTCTGATGCCAAAGAGGGGGGGCCTGCTACAGATTCTGCTCTGTACAAAAGGTTGAGGGGCTACACCAGACAGCAAGAACCTGGATGTGGGAACGTCCAAGAATGGGAGGCATGAATCCAGTGCTGGTCTGGTGTCCTGTAATGCATGTGCCTTTGAGTTTAGCATCTGGGGGACTCAGCCAGATCTGAGAGGGGAAAAGATTGTGCTTGGACAACAAGGTGTTATCCTTCCCGTCAGCTTTTTTCTTGTGGGAGAGTGCCAGAGAAGACCTGGAACAGCGCATGTTCGAGTTGAGAGCGTCTGTGTTCAGGGCAGACGTTCCGGGGCAGATGGAAGATGGAAAACCCTTTAGCTAAGGATTTGGAACAGGGGCTTCACTGCTCAGCTCCAGTTCCTCCCAGCAATGCTTCTTCCTCCAGTCATGGAGATTCCTTGTTTGGTCTGAGTACAGTTGAGTCTCCCAGCCTCAGCTGGCTAGCTGTGAAATGGGAATAAGAATAAGCCTCAGAAGGGTTTTTTCGTTCTGCTGATGAAACTATACGTGAAACATTTTCTTTCCTCTCTGCAGTGCCTGTCTCTACCATGTGCGAGATGGGACTGGTGTCTCCAGATTTGTCTGGCCCAACTCTGTACTGCGAAGAGGCCCCAGACGCTTATTGCCAGGAGGATGACCGATGGCAGCGGCTGCGCACGGCTGTCCGGAAGCTGGAATTCTGGGAAAACTTTGAGGCTGAGTTGATAGGCAGCGGCTTCTTCTCCAAAGTGTTCAAGGTATGGCGTTACGCAGGCATGCCAAGCTGGCCTGCCCACCAGGTTGCCCTACTTGCCCGTCACACTACAGTTCTTCTCATTTCCAACCAGTGGAGGTTGGGAGAGTAGAAATCCCAACACATCTGGAAGGAGGCAGATTTAAAGGAGGGTCAAAGCCCATCGCATCTCTTAAACCTGCTCCTCAATTGTTCAGGGATTGTTCAGGAACATCCTCAGAAGTGTTTACGGCGTCACTTCATAGCCAGCTGATACCTTGCATAGGGTCAATCAGACTGGTCCAAGAGAATGTGCCAAGAGCGCCATCTCCAGATCAGTCAAGATGTTATGAAAACCAGGGACAGGGGAGAACCAGGGAAGTCCACCCTGATGCCACATGTTTTGAGCAGATCACCGTTTCAAAGCTGGTCTCAAGACAGAGACAAGAGAAGGAATATGATTCTTAGGGATAGGCGTTCTTGGTGTCAGGGCACATCTCAGGTTCAGGGGAAGAGAAAGTGGTTGCTTTTTTCTGATGGAAAACCTAAGGGCCGGGAGTCCCCAGTCTGAATGTCTCCTGCCAGGGGTGGACCGTGGTTGGGTTCTTGTGCAAAATCAAGAGTTAGTATTTCTCAAAAGGAAGGACAGTCTTTAAAATGGCAAGCTTTCTGTGTGCATTGAGAATGCTGCTGCTCTGAACACATGGTTCGCTTTCTTCTGAGGGCACTTGTCCCCTGGCAACTGTAATCTGGTTCTTATCTGTCATCCTCCCGTACTCATCCCTTCCTCTCTCTCTCGGTGCCTGTTCATTTGCAAGCTGGGAACAATCCTTATTTTTCAAAGCATCTTCTTTGGATGTTTGAATCTGTAGGATTCCTGTGGAAGGACCCTACCTTTGATAGACAAAAGGGTTTGCTGGAGTTTGACAGTATGACCTTGTATAGGTTTCTCAGAAGTGAGGGACAGCTGCGTCAGGACCCGGCCAGGATCTGCCGCCGCTTCTGCTTCCAGGGGCCTAATCTCTCATCTCCGTGGAGTTTCATACCAGCCACTGCCTGCTTTGCAGCACCTTTTCCTCCTTATCTGGCGGCTGAGGCACCTTGTGCCAGGTTGGGGCACGGCACAGGCGAGTCAGAGTCCATGGATCCAGTCTTCCCCCTGTTGCCGAGCCCTTGGCTGATCCGCATCCGCATCCCAGCAGTACTTGCATCTCAGAGAAGCAGTCTGCCAGGGCCGCCTCCTAGGCTAGTTGCAAGGTTGTTCTAAAACTCTGCACAGAGCTAGCTTTCTTCTGGTTGGCATCCAGACGTCACTTCACTTTTGCAACTCATTGTTTTCAGTGCCGCGTGTATGTCTTTTGTTTATTTAGTCATTGTTTTCTTTTGGGAAAAGAAGTGCCCCCAAATCACGACAGAAAACAGTTCCTGACGGCCAGGGTGCTGGGTGCAGCTGACGTCAGCTATGAACTTGCAGAACGGGAAAGCTTGTCCTGGGAGAGTTGACGTTTTCAGGGATTGTATGGATGGGCCCCAGCAGTCTAAGAAAATGCCTCTGCCTTCCCTCCAAGCTGCCTTGTGACCCCTGCCAGTGTGTGCGTGAGCTTTTTCAGAACTGGACAGCCTTCTGTTTTGTCTTCTTTTCTGAGCCTCGACCTTTCTCAAAGGACCCCTCAGATGGTCTGTTTGAAACCATCCGCTCATCTCCAAGGGTTTGCGGCCTCCGCTTTTCTCCCTGCCAAGTGCTCGCTCCTTATGGCTCACCAACAACTCTTGATGGAGACCCTTCCTTCTACTGCAGAAATGCGTCTGGCCCAAAGAGCTTTGCCACAGTTTTCCTCCTGTTTTTTCAAAACGGTCTGAAAGTCCCGCAAAGCCACAGGCTGAAGGGCTGCCTGCTGCTTGGATACAGTCCTGCACGTTCATGCCGTGCTCAGGCCCCCTCTCTGCTGCTGCTTTTCGTTTAAATTGCTGGAGGAGAAATGGGCGAGATTCATCTAAAACAAAGGCAGGGAGGCATCAGGGATCGGGTCCAGAATCAGTCAGGTCTGGGCTGGACGCAAGGGACAGGCTCAGAATGCAGTTCTGATTGCCCGTTGGATCGCTTGACCCACACGCCGCGTGCCCAGGGACGGACTGTGGAATCGGAGCACAAATGTCTATTACAAGCACAGCTTGGCAAAAAGTCGTAGGAAGCAAATTAAGGCTCCTGTTTTCCAAGGGAGGAAAACTGCCACGAGAGAGAAGCAAGCAGCATAAGGCCAACAGAGCAGAGGCGGCTTCTTTTTAAAACCAGAGCTGATTCTCTGGTCTGGCACTTGGGGAAGGCTGACCTAGAGAGCGTGTCAGAAGGAAGAGATCCCATCTGCTTAGCCCCATGCGGCTGTTCGTTTCAGGTCCGCTCCTGCCCCCTCCTTCCCCAGCTTGTTCTGGCTCCTTCTCCAGCAAAGCAGGAACAATAATTGTGCACGCTTTTTGCGGCTCGTTGAATGCACAGTCAAGTCCGTCATTAACCTTTTACTTCATGAGTCTGAATGCCAGCTTGATTGGAATTCGTGATGACTTCTGATCCAATTGCCCCTGTGACAAGGATAGCTGTTCCACCCTGCCACTGTGACTTCAGAAAATGCTGCCTTGAACAGTAAAGGGAAGGTGGAGAATTAATGGGCAGTCTTAAAAGCATTTTTATTGGAAAACAATAAAAAAAAGCCTGCTGTAACACAGTGGAGGCTTGCCCCGCGTTGCTGTCGGCGAAGGCTCCTTCCCTACCCAAGATCCCTGAGAAACGGCATAATGGGTGTTTTATGGAGCTGGAGTGGCCGGGCTGCCAACATCAATCTTGCTCCGAAGCAGGGAAGGGGGGCAGTGGGGTGACCCATGCAGGGCGGCTGGGGAAGATAGAGAGATCCTTCGCTGCAGAGAAGATGCTGAATGAGGCTGTCGGTCAATTGCAGCAAGGAAACCAGGGTTGCTTTAAAGCATCACTGAACCCTTTTAAGATTTCGAGTATGATTACTGCTCCCATGAAAGGATCTCTCCCCCGCTCCTCCCCCAGATTACTCATAGCTTAATTATCAAAACACTCGCGCTGCACGTTAGTAAGGAAAGCTATCTTTAACGCTTTCTCTCCATGTCCCTGGAATACCTCAGAACCGTACTTAACGTTGTTCCTGCATCCGGTTAGTCTGCTAACACTCGGGTTGAGCCTTCCCTTCAGTCCGCAGAACTTCCATCCAGGCTGGGAATGATTGGAATTGGAATCCCACCCACCTGGAAGACAGCAGGCTGGGGATGATGGGGGAGAGGATACCTCAGCTTGCTGAGGTCCGCCGGTCTCAGCAACCTGCATGGGAAGTGCTGTACGCGTTGCTTACGTCTGAGGGATGAGAAAGCGACCGCCCTCGTTGCCCCATCTTGGAACAAACGTGTGTGGTAGGCCAGACTGGGAGAGCGCGGCTGGTTCAAGGCCACCTGGGGAATGTCTCAGCCAGAATGTGTGAGTCCCCAACCCAGCATGCTGGGAGGAACAGCAGAGAGCGTTTGAACCCGGGCTGCACAGCCCAAGTGGCGGAAAGGAGTTTGCATCCAAGCTGGGTGGGGCCTGAGCCCGTTTGAGTGCTCTGGCTGCAAGGGCCTTGAGCGATGGCAGAGCGCTCTCCCTCATGCAGAACGCCCCAGGTGAGCCACCCACGGGGCTAGAGCCATTGGTGATGCAGTGGGTGTCTCAGGGATATGTTTCTCCTCCAGATCACAACTGTATCCCTTGCCTGTGTGCAGTTTGTATTTCCCACAATGGCAAGGGAGGAGTGGCCTCCCCGGAAGCTTTTCCTTTGCTCTTTCGGGGTGTGTTTGTATGCTGCGGAGGGGGGCTCGGCTGTAGCTTTTGGCACGTCTCTCAAACTTGGTTTCAGTTGCTTTTTTCCCATTGAATGAATGGCTGCCCCAGGGAGGGCTTTGAACAAAAGGCCTCCGTTTGTCCTCCATCGCGTCCTAGTTCATTTTAGTTCGCCAAGGCTTCCTTGGGCTTAGCAGAGGCCCCCAAAGAACTGATGTCCCTCAGGCATTTGGGTCGGGGTTAGATGAGCTGTGCTGTTATCAGAGGGCTTTTCCTGGGAGCGCCAGGGGTTCAGTGCTGTGGGTTTTTCTGTGTTCTAATCCTTGTAAGCTGCCCAGGGTCGCTTGCCTGAGATGGGCTGCAAATAAATCATATAAATAAATAAGTGAATCTAAATCTACGTCTGACTTCTGCCCTTCAGCTCAGAGCAGCAAATGCAATTTCTCCTAGAGGTCCTGCTTCGAGCGGGGTTTGGTTAACCTAAGGAATTCTCTGCCCCAGGAAGTGGCAAGGGCCATAAATTCCAAGCTGCTTAGATGAACACATGGAACAGGATAAAGCTATTAATGGTTGTTGATGCAGCTGTTAATCCTTATAGCCAACAATAGCTGAAGATTCGCCCTAATATCCATCTGCTTCTTAATTACTGTTGCCAGGAGCCACGAGCAAAAGCGTGTTCTTCTTTCTGGTCCTGGTTAGAAGCGACCAAGAGTAGACTGGTTGGGAAGAACATGAGATTTTCTCCCCATCCTGGTTCTTTTATTGATCTCCTTCCATGCTCTGAGCTGCATCCTTCCAAAACAAACATCCTCTCAATTTCAATTTCATATTTGGGCGGATCTTCTGGAGACAGTCCAGAACTCGCTGGAGGCAGCAATGCCAAGAGGAATATGTGGGTGCCCGAGGGAGCAAGCGTGAAGGTGGACGTAGCCTGCTTTTGATGCGATTTTCCTGTCGGGCAGGAAGTTGTCTGCTCTCACGCTGCAGTTCTGGTGCTTCCTGCAGGTTGCTCCGAGCCCTGCAGGCAAGGCCATGGTGGTCAAGATTTACAAGAACGATGCTGATCAGGAGGGGATCGTGCGCGAGATCAGCTTGCTGCAGAAGCTCTCCCATCCCAACATTGTCAGGTAGGTCTCTGCATAGATCACCCGCAGGCCAGACCTGAAAGGAAGGGTCAGTGGAACTTGAACCAAGCCACTTTTGCTCTTACTAATCCCTCCAACTCTCCGGACACTTCCATGCGCTGCTTCTCTCCTTCCGTTTTTGGACTAGCAGCATACCTGGGTTGGTCGGTGCCTCTGTTCATCACTGTGCCTTTTCTAAAAAATGAGTCCCCCCCCCCGGGAGGAAAAGCAGAACGTCATTCTCGCAGCTCTTGGACTGGATCCCACCCTCTCTGAGTCCAGCGTTGTTTTCAGGTTAGCCTAGCTTGGTGCCACAACAATCAGCTGGTTCTTCTCTTTTGAAAGGTACCTTGGGATCTGCGTGAAGGACGACAAGCTGTACCCCATTCTGGAGGTAAGGGAGGGTTGTTCTTCCCCTGCAGAAACAGCAGCCGCCATCCGTGTTAGGCCTGGCCTTCCCCAGCCCCCGAGGCCCACTGCCTCTTAAGGAGGGATCCACTGATCTGGGGTTCAGGACGGGAAGCGCTGTTTTTCAGCGGTGGGATCGGCTCTCTGGAGTGACTTCCTGTGCGGGATTCGCCTGCCTTTTGGAAAAGCTGAGCCCTGAGCTTTCTCCAGAGGGCTGCTGGGGCCTGGCGTCCTGTATTGTCCTATATAGGTTTTATTTGTTTTATTTTCATGTTGTGTTATTTTATTGTATTCTTTGTCTTGCGAGCCTCCAAGAGTCTTGCGATTGCGTACACGTTTGATACATAAATGTCACCTATCCACCTGGCTTGCCGTCGGCCTCATGTCCACAAGAGTGAGGAGTTGGGGGGTTGATGTAGCTCCCTCTGAGCTATACCGCTTTATGCTTTAGGACTGAGGTGAAGACAATTTGAAAAATAAGTCTGCTTCTCAATGTTAAAAAAAAAAAAGGAATTCCCAAAGTGATAAATCCTGCACTTAGAAATATAGAAGGTAGCCTGCAGTTGAAAGGGCTCCTTTGTTGGTCTTCAGTATGGTGGAGCATTTAGTTCAGCCCAGCCTTCCCCCAAAGGGACATCTGCCAGATGGTTTGGGCTGCATCCTCCATCCTCCTCCGGCTAAGGCCAGGCTGGTTGAAGATGGATATCGGCTGATGTGCCTGCAGGGCTCGGACTGGGAAGGCTGCCTCAACTCACGCATCCTTCATGGAACGTGGAATAGCATCCATCCCAGCCTCCGTGAGAAATGACCCAAAGGCCCCCCTTCCCTTCTGTGCCGCCCTTAGTACGTGAACGGCGGGTGTCTGGAAGAGCTTTTGGCCTGCAAAGACGTCTCCCTCAGCTGGAAGGAGAAAGTGGACTTGGCCTCAGACATCACCCGCGGGATGGTCTACCTCCACTCCAAGAATATCTACCACCGCGACCTCAATTCCAAGGTAGGCGTCCACTTCGCCTCCTCTCTGGTTCCAAGGGCTATCCAAGGAAGTGGGTGGGAGGTGCCACAGAAGAGGGGCCCCATCACTGCTCCTTAGCTGGAGTCGGCCAGAGGGGTCTCCCTGTTCGGAAGCAGTCTGCTCCTCAGGCCTGTTGCCGGGAGTGGAGTCCCAGGAACGGAAGAGCACTTTGGCTCCTCCTGGCAAGGTTTCCTAAAACTCTCACTGAAAGGTGTTCCAGAGGGGCTTGTGCTTTTCCTGCTCTAAGGTTTAGTCCAGTGGGATTTCACAGCTGGATGTGGCCCAGTGCTGCCCCCCCAAAAACATCTTTCCCCTTTTCAGGACTCTCAGTGGGCCTGGAAGAAGATTGAGGGCCATCAGAGAGGCTTCCTCTCACTGCCATCTGTCTGTTTTTCAGAACTGCCTCATCCGAGTGACCCAGCGAGGGCGGGAGGCTGTGGTGACCGATTTCGGGCTGGCCAAGGAAGTGGCAGAGCTCTCGGCAAAGAGTCCGGAGAGGAAGCTCTCCCTGGTGGGCTCGGCCTTCTGGATGGCTCCTGAAATGCTGCGGGGAGAGCCTTATGACCAGAAGGTGCCTGCCTCCCGCTCCCCCTCCCCTCCCCTCCCACTGAGCTGCCCTGGGGCGCAAGGCAGCCTCTCTGAGCTCGGAGGGGCTGGGCCTTCGGGATGCCCTGACGAAACAGAGAGCGGGGGGGCACTGCAGAGTTCCCTGTCGCTGAGCCCTGATCCCTTCGGCAGGTGGACGTCTTCTCCTTCGGCATCGTCCTCTGTGAAATCCTGGGCAGGATTCCAGCTGACCCCGAGGTGCTGCCACGGACTCAGGTTACCTTTCAGTTACTCGCCTCCAGTGAAATTTGTTAGGATGGCTACCTTCTGCTCTGAGTTGGTTGCTGGCACTCTTGAAAAGCATTTGGGCTGGGAGCCCGCAGGGAACTGTGTGGAAGAGCTTTCCCCAAGATCGCTGCTCCCTTCATCTCTGTAGGGCCTGACATCTTGGGGAAGGCGATTTAGAGGGGCAGCTGAGGGGGGAGGAAGATTCAGGGCCTCGAGCAAGAGAGAGAACTGCGGGCAATGAAATGACGGGAAGCCCTTTTGAAATCTTCGTTCCTCCCTCTAGGATTACGGTCTGGATGTGGCTGCCTTTCAGAGCATGATAGGAGAATGTCCCAAGCAAGTTTTGGATTTGGCTGCCAGCTGTTGCAGGGTGAGGATTTCCTTAAGTTTTGCAAGAGGAAGAAAATGCCTTTTGTGAAGCTACGCAGAATCAAGGGACTTGTGCATCTTAGCTGAAGCAGCTTCGAAAGATTTGCAGGCTGGAGAGAGCAGTTGACCAGGGCTGGGTGAGGCTGCTGTGCAGAGCCTCTGGGTCAGTTCTAGCTCCAGGAAGAGATGCAGTAGAGGGCTCATGGGCTTCCCGAAAGTGGGTTGCTGGACTGCGGGGTCTTTAGTGCCTTCCAGCCATTATAACAAAGGGTGGAGCCTCCATGTTCAGGGGCAGTTTGGCTGCAAATTGAAAAACGCCAGGGGGAGATGGTTATCTTTGTCCGCTGTTTACGGGCTTCTCAGAAGCTTCTGGAGCTCACGGTTCAAGGTACCCCAGCCTTTGGCCTGACCCAAGAGGCCTTAGGGCACACGTCTTCCCCCTCATTTCCCTTCCTTTTCTGCCCCTCGGATCCCACCGTGATTAAAGCGTGAATCAAAGCCCAGCACTTGCAGAGCTCCGGCTTGCCTTGCCAATGAAAAATGCATCTTCATGGCTGTTATGCTCGCTTCTTGCTCCAAAGGAAATCTGCAAAATGCGTTACTTAGCATCTTCTCCAAGCGTACGGGCTTCTCTCACGGGTTTGGCAAGGCTGAATCATACTCTCATCTACTGGAGCACACCTGGAAGCACCTGTGGCTCTCCAGATGTTGGGTCGCAGCTCCCATCTTCCGACAATTCGCTCTGCTGGCTGGGCTGATGGGAACTTGGAGTCCGGTCAGTTCCACCCACTGAGGAGGATGTCCAAGAAGCAAAAAACGTCTAAGTTTAGTTAATTGTACAGGACTTAATGTTTTTGATGGCAAATCTGATAAATGTGTCTTAGTTTGAAATTTGGAGGGCTAAGAGGAGGGGGGAAAACATACTGCTTGGCAAAGCCATGTCAGGAGAAGAGGAGCAAAGGCCCCCTGGCCCAGGCTTGGAAACCAAGCACAGAGGATAAAGAGGTGGCAGCTGGGGGGGAGGGGAGAATTTCCAGGCGCGGCTGTCATGATAAGGAAGTTCACCATTTCCACAAGGTGGCATTTTTGGCAGGGCTGGGCACAGCTGTCGCTTGTGGTGCGAGCTGCCCTTTGACGAACCACCCCCTTCTTTTTTCGTCTCCCATCCGCTCTCCCCAGATGGAAGCCTTCAAGCGCCCCTCCTTCTCCGAGATCCTGGAGGAACTGGAAGACGCTGCTGAACGACTGGAGTTCTCGACGGAGCAGCAGTCCCCGGGTTGACGCATCCAGCAGGACACGGACTGAAATGTACCTGTATATCTCGAAAGAAAGGGTTCTGCGGGAGGAAAAGGGGCCTTGCCTTTGGGGCAGGTCAGAGGCTTGTATAGTGGAAGATGGAGCACCCTCCCTCCCCCTGCCGTCTCTTTTCTAGCTGTCCAGATTCTTGTGGACTAAGCAGTATTGTTGCAAGCAAACCAATTCTCCCTCCCACATTTACACGGCTCTGGCAGTGAGCCAAGCTGCATGCTGCAGGGGAAAGGCTAGGTGCCTGCCACAGCCGTCAGCCCGAGTCCCTCGGGGGCCTGAGTTGCATCCAGTCGCCATTCCTCAGACCGCCATCTCATCCCCCAGGCTCTATCGACCCTGCTTCCTAGCGCGGTGAGGTTAGTGGCGAACGAGTGAAAAAACTTCTTCCCGAAAAGGGTATTTAAGGCCTGGACAGTGGCGCCACTGTAGAGTGAGGTGAGCCCAGCTCTGTCTGTGCACACAGGAGGAGGGAGAGGAGATGGTCCCTGGAGAAGGGGAGCCCCCTCGGTGTCTTCCTGCTTGCTCGAAGGCAGCCCTGGAGGGCGGTGTCCTCCTGCTGCGTTTTGGGGGCTCCTTGGGACTTGGATCCTGGGCAGAAGATGCTGAGTCGAAAAGCCATCTGCCCTGCAGCCTTGCTTGGCCTCCTCACAGACCCTCACGGTCGCCACTCCTCGGCAACTTGGGTTGTCCTCCCTGCCCCCGATAGCAGCCGACGGGCACCCTGATTTCTGAAGCTGGCCACGCCCAGCCTCACGGGAACCTCTTCCCCCCCCCACACTTCTGCTGGCCACAACAGTCCTGATTGCAGTCGGGCTGAACCTCTGCGGTTCTGCCGTGGGGAGCAGGAGGTGGGGGGGACGTCCCCAGGAAGACGCACATGTGGGAAAGCGGCTTGGGTAGCACGTCCCGCAGGGAAGGCGTTGAGGGTAGTCTCCAAATGTCGGGGGACGGAGACCCTAAGCCCGCCCCAGACTGCTGGCAATGGGGTCCATCCCCGGAACTCCTAAAGCGGTGTTCCATCCCATAATAGCCCGGTCATTCTGATGAGCTGAGGGAAGCGCTGGAGCTTGGCTCCCTGATTGTACCCTGAGGGCTGGCGCCCCCCCTTAGGGGTCTCCGTTTCTCAGCTTTTGCGGCCGAAGCAAAGAAGGGCCTGGGGCTGACGGCTCCCCTTCGGCAGTCCGGGGGCAGAGCTCCAAACGGATCTCCTTTCTATGTAAATCAATAAACAGCTTGTGAACTTTTCCCAGAAACTCCTTGAGCAGCGACAGGCCCTTGTACTCCTGATTCTCTGGGTGTGGGTGTGTGTGTGGGTGTGTGTAGTGCAGTGCAATGAGAACGCAAGCAAGCCGCTTGCTGCTGGAAGAGGCCCGTCTCACCCGTTGCCAGCGCTGGCTTTTCCTCCATCTGTCGCCTGCTGCAAGTACACCGTCTTTCGGACCTGGGGCTGCCCCCGTTGCCTGGCATTAATGCCTGCTGGCAACTCCTGTAAGAGGCTGGCTGCCCTTCCAGAGACTGGCAGGGAGGCAAAGGGGGAAGGAGCAACCTTCGGGGACCTGGCAGCTCTCCTTGGGGGCCAGAAATGCTGTAACTAGTAGCTGTTGGTAGCTTGAAGAGTGGGGGGAGCTGATCTTTCAGGAGCTCGCTAGCACTGGCAGCGGAGCCTCCATGTTCAGCAGCAGGGTACCAGCAGCTGTATACAAACCACAAGCAAGTCTCCCCGGTGGAGCGTTCTGCACACGCTCCACAGAGAGGCACTCACGACGTCGTAGCGCCTGGTGGTCGACCTGCCCCTTTCCCCCCATTTTCCGTATCGGTGACTGGAGAATGCCTTTCTTCCACCCGAGTAGTGTGCCACGGTGGAGTGCCACCCTGAGCGCCCAGGGCGCCTGAAAGGAGAGCGGCCAGATTGCGCAATCACCTGCCTCGCCCTCGGTGGACTTCGATGGGCCGGCCGGATAAGAGCATCTCCGGGTTTTCCCACTGCTGCTCTTGTTGGGCCGCTGGCTGAGCGGGGCTCCCCTTCTGCCCTTCTGTGCCCCTTTCCTTCCAGGGGGTCAAAACGGGAGGCCTCTGTCCTGGTTTAATCCTCGCCGCCGTGAGCGACCGCGAAAGAGGCCTGCGGCCGGGTCTCTCTGTCTGTTGCACTGTCGGCTCCGGGGCTGCTGAAGGCCTTGGAGAGCCTTTGGGGCTCCCTGCTGGCTGTTAGCTTGCGCGGCTGCAGCCCGCCACAAGGTGGCGCCCTTTCACCAGCCGTGCTGCGTTGGCAAAGCCCTCTGCTGGTCGTTGGCCATCAGGGCATTCTCCGGGCACCGGCTAGGAGTACCAGTCAAGGAAGCTTCCTCCTCCCCTCTCCAGCTGGCGTTTTAATCCAAAGCACAGAAGAGCTGTGAGAGCGCGAATGGTTTGCTTGGATTTGAGGCGAGGGTCTTTGCAATCACTCTGTCTTTGCAATCCAAAACCACTTTGGTTTCAGGTTTTCCCTCCTTGGAGGATGAGAGGCAGGGAGCCCTTCAGACGCAGTCCTCCCCGCTCGCCCCCCGCTCACAAGACTTGCTAAAATAAGATTTGCATTTATTACTTTGTCATTTAGAAGGCAATAAATTAACAAACAGAATCATTTCTGAAGGGAATTGGGGAAGCTGGGTTTCCAGTCCTACATCTCTCAAGGTGCCCGCTGTTGGAGTGTGTGCGCGTTTGTGTGTGCCAAAAGGGTAGTAAAAGGTGTGACGGGGCAGAGTGCCCTTGTGCCAGGAACTAACTTGATTGCACCTCTTGTCTCAAGATACAGATGGTTTTAAAACTGGACCTGTGGATATTCAGGATCAGGGCCAGGTGGAGCTCCTGAGGATTCAGGAAGGAGCCATCAGGCTGCATTTAGAAGGCACTCGGAGGCTGAGTTTATGGGGCAGCCCTAAGATTTGGGTTCCCTGTTTTCCTCTAGCTCTTAACCTGTGTGTACTGGGGTGTGTATTGTCAACTACGTGTGCAGCTGAATACAGCTAATTTTGGCTTACGCAAATGAGGTCAGAGGGTGACCCGGCAGCAGGTATTTCAGTAAACCTGGGGGGCAGAGTCAGGATTCTTGGCAGCCTTCCTCCGTCCTCCATACCAGCGTAGGAATAAAAGCTGGTACATTTTTTATCTTCCCAGGCTGCAAACTTTAGTGAGCTTTGTTATTGGGATACGGGAGGAAAAAAAATCCCCCTGAGGTGCTGTTTTCGTTGAAGGAGAGAGAGGCTTCCATGCATATTTGGATCCCAAGAAGAAGAATCCTCATTTTGGAAAACTAAACACTGGAGTTGGAATGAGCTGCTGACCCTCCTGGTCTTTGCTTAGCACGGATCCATAGAGTCTCCTCGCTTCTGAATGAGCGAGGAAGTTCTCCAAGAATCTGAGCCCACGATCTGGTAGCAGAAGGCTCTGAAAGAGCAGCCTAGGATGATGGATTGGGTAGTGGCGTCCTCCATGGAACCTCATTCGCTGTGTAAACACCC